TGCTACTTTGTGAGCTGCCGGCATTAAAGTTGTGAGCGAGCGATTTTTAGTTTGCTCTGGAGCCATCCTTCCTGAGCTAAGATAATAATCCGTGAGCCGGAGGCTAAAAAACTGTGAGCTAGCTCACACCAGCTTAGAGGGAACACTGCTCCTAGGCGGAAAGCATGATTTCCAAGCAGGCATAACCCCCAGCACCTCTGATCTGTGTTTGTGAGGTGCCTTCAAGTCGCTTCAGATCTATGGCAACCCTATGAGCTGATGGCCTCCAGAATGTCCTATCTTCAATCAGCTTTGCTCAGGTCTTGCGAGTGGAGGGCCTTTGTCGCTTCCTTGTTTGAGTCAACCCATATCCTGTTGGGTCTTCCTCTTTTCCTGCTGCCTTCACATATTCCTGGCATCATTGTCTTTTCCAGTGACTCCGGTCTTCTCATCATGTGACCAAAGTACAGCAGCCTCAGTGTAGGCATTTTAGCTTCCAGAGAGAGTCCAGGCTTGATTTGATCCAAAACCTACTTATTTGTCTTTTTGGTGGTCCACGGTATCCGTAAAACTCTCCTCCGATGTCACATTTCAAATGAATCAACTTGCTTCATTGTTGGGCATGGTTTATTTATTTGCTTTATTTATAGCCCCCCCCCACCTGCTGAGACTCAAGGGAGTTTACGGAATATGAAGTGATGCGATCGGGCCCCATAAGACAAACAATGGACATTGCAATATATCTAAGATTACAGAATTAGAAAACAATGTGAACGGCAAGTTGTCGAAGGCCAGGTAGATTGTAGACAGTGCAGAAGGTGGAGCTGCAAAGGTAGAAGGGAGTGCCATAAAAGCAAAATACCACATACAATCCCCCCCCCCCGTCAAGTCATAACTGACTTATGGAAACCCCCATAGGGTTTTCAAGGCAAGAGTTAGTCATAGGTGGTTTGCCATTGTCTGCCTCTGCACAGCAACCATGGACTTCCTTGATGGTCTTCCATCCAAATACTGACCAGGGCCAACCTTGCTTTGCTTCCGAGATCTGATGAGATCGGGCTAACTTGGGCTACCCCGGTCCTGTTCTGTTCTACTATAGTTCCAAGCCATTTTGGTGTAGTGGTTAGAAGAAGAAGAGATTGGATTTATACCCCACCCTTCACTACCCAAAGGTGTCTCAGAGCGGCTTACAAACTCCTTTCCCTTCCCCTCCCCACAACAGACACCCTGTGAGGTGGGTGGGACTGAGAGAACTCTGACACAAACTGCCCTTTCAGGAACAGCTGTGCCAGAGCTTGTGACTCACCCAAGGTCACATCAGCAGGTGCAAGTGGAGGAGTGGGGAATCAAACCCGGTTCTCCCAGATTAGAGTCCGCACATTTAACCACTATACCAAACTGGCTCTAGGAGCATGGACTCTAATCTGAGAGAACCGGGTTTGATTCTCCACTCCTCCACATGCAGCTGCTGGTGTGACGTTGGGCCAGTCACAAGTTCTTTCAGAGCTGTTCTCTCAGGAGCAGTTCTCAAAAGAGCTCTGTCAGCCCCACGTACCTCACAGGGTGTCTGTTGTGGGGAGGGGAAGGGAATGGAAATTGTAAGCCGGTCTGAGACTCCTTCGGGTAGGGAAGGGCTGGGTATAAATTTAATCTCTTCTTCTTCTTTATAAAATAGTCCCCCTCCCCAAACATTTCATTCTGCAGAATTATA